AAGGGCCAGTTCACACCACAAACTCTGCGTTCAGGGGCGTGGCGGTGCATTGAAGTCAATGTGATTGCCGCCATCTGAATGCGTGACACATTAGTGCCTGCGTTCCCGTCCAGTGTGATCTGCAAAAATGGTGCAGAGTATTTTTGCAGATTGCACTGGCCGAACGCACTGGAACATGGAGTTTGTGGTGTGAACCGGCCCGAAGACTGATCCCTGCATGATTACCATTGTGCTAAGTTCCCCAAAAATCACAAAAGTAAGAAATTAGAACAAACTAAATCGATTTTAGGCTTTCTAATCACTGATGCGGTGAAATTGAAGATCAATTTCGACCGTAGTTATGAAACATTTTGAAGGAGCATGTTGTAACATTTTTCTCGATCTAACAAAATTCTAACAATGAATGTGGTTGCGTTTGTAAAACTCCATTCATTCCAAAACCAAATGTTAAATGAAAATCAAACAAAATCTCGAACGACAATCATTAAGCCTCTGATGGTATTATCGAATGTTCCAATTAGATGTTTCAGACAAACATTCCTGCAACAATCTACCCGTGTATACATTACTTTAAACTCAGCCTGCTCAGACTCTGTCTTCTTTCAGGCTCTGTGCAGATCAGGACTCGGGAGACAGCTCCTGACTTGGGTTGGGTGGAAATCAATGGCAGCCCCCATGTGGATTGATACATGGCTCAGAATACATAGTGCCCCTCCCTCTACTAAGTCTGACTTCATATCAAATATAAAATGGATGTTATCCCAATATGGCTGCAAAAGTGGAAATACACCTAAAGGAAACCTGTACTGAACAATATGGTGGCCATCATTACTGACTGTCATGGTGATCCAGAGGTTTCAATAATATTGGAGCCACTCTGACTTTTCTGATCTGCATGCTTGTTCTGGCTCAATGAACTCAGAAAATATTACAGCCAGAGACAGCCAGCTTGATGACTTTTTTAGAAGGTCAACAGTGGCAGAAACTGTATTTTCCTCAGTACAGGCTTCTTTTAAATATGTTTCAGTAAATGTCCTTTCCTAAATAGAATGGCTGCTCACAGCCAAAATGAAATAAGGGCCCAAAGTAACATAGTTCATTTATTCATATGCCAGAAATATTTATCAAGTGTTATATTTGTCACTAGGGGCCCAGCTAAAACCACAGATAGGTCATGAAAACATTGAGATTCCTATGACAGGGTGTATAAATTTGCAGACAGGACATGACTCCACAAGACTGTGGTTTAGTGAACATGACACAGTGGAAAATGCAAGTGTCTGCTGATTGGGCCGGAGGGACTCAGTGCATGATTTATGTAAGAAGAAGCCGCAGTGGATCCTTATTTGATGGCTGCATCTCCTTCTCTGTATCTGAAGCTAAAAATGGTCACAGATGTATTTCTGTTTTATATGTGAAATATATGCCTAAGTTATCTTGTTACTTTGATGTGAACATCATAAACACCACATGAGTCTTTGGCCTGGTAATTGTCAGTAACAATAATTAGTAGATCAAAACAACAGTAATTAATAATGTTACAGAAGACTTTTTGCTTATGCAGTATAAAACATACATCTCGAAAATAAATGTATAGCATTTAATACAGTATATTTAGTCCTATGTAGCTGCATGATGTTGTCATAAGCTAGGCAGACATAAATATTCATAAGTATTCATGAAAGTGTATAGTGTTTACAGAATACACTGGTGGCTTTGGATGCACAGTTGGGTAATGTGGTAAAGCAAAATGATTTGCATGGCTTTATAGGTTATCTTTACGCTAGGAATGAACCCCTTGTTTGCTTCAAATTGAGATGGAAGTAATAGCATAAAGATACCTTCTGTTTTAGGAATGCAATCCTGTAATCAACAGTATTTTTAAAGGTTCCTGACCTTTCTCATAACCTTATTGGTTTTACTTACTGCAAGCCCTTCGTTCGCCCTTCAAAACATTTGTTTTGTGCATCCATTTGCACAGAACCAACATTCACAGAGATTGCCAGGGCCAATGGCTCTGCACATTGTTCATATATTGACCCCTAAGACTTGAGATAAAGTTACAAGAAAGTGGCATGCTGTACCCGGTAAAGGATAAAACAAAATTAACGCCTAAGGCCCATTTCACATGGCCGCTCCAATTATTATTTTTATTATTACTATTTAGGATTTATATAGCGCCAACAGTTTGCACAGCACTTTACAATATAAGGAAGACATTACAATCACAATACAATTCAATACAATACAAGATGGTGAGGAGGGCCCTGCCCGCGAGGGCTTACAATTCGGTTTGCCTGTCAGTTTTTCAGGTGGACCCGATCAGATGCCCAATGTAAGTCTATGAGCAGCTGTTTGTTAACGGACGTGTGTCCGTTCACACCCTGTCACCCCCGCCTCCAGCCGGGTCATGTTAAACGAACGGAACATTGTTCCGTTTTGCCAGATCGAATCTAGACAGATCGGGGTAATCTGATGTCCATTTACATCCAATTCCCCATAGACTGGCATAGGGTCCAGTAATTGCAGTATTTTCCATCATCATAAGACAGAGGAAAACACTGTACGGACACTGATGTCATAGTGGTGACATCCTCATCGTGCTGCTCTGATCAAGAGATGATCTGTGCATGAATCCCCTCCTGATCAGCCCATGTGACAGGGGCCTAAGGTTTGTTTTAATGGATTCAGAGTCTACACTGCAAAACATTGCAACTTCACAGTCCTCTCTGATAAATCAAGCTGTATTGTCACACAAGGTAGCAGGAGATTTGACCCTTAAAGTGGAAGTAAAGTCATTAAAATATAAAATTGGAAGGTATGGATTTTTGGCAGAATAGACATGCAAAGTCCTACTCTTAGTGAATGCACAATATATAGTGAATGTACACTATATACACTCATCCCATTAACATCATCTTTAAGACGGTCTGGGTGCTGGGGAGGATTTAACTCCTGTGCACATGGAGTTACATTATGAAAGGACACCCAATGGCCGAAGAGGACATCAGGGAATCTGGAAGTGTCTACACCAAAGATCGATCTGACAGCACTGGAGGAGGGAATACCTGCAAGGTAAGTGTACCTTAGTGTGCAAGTATGCTGTGCACATTTACTTCTGCTTTAATACGTGTAGAATGCATAACTGCTAGGGTAGATATGTAAACAATAATAGAAGGCTCACGTTTTTACCTCTCCTAGGGAAAATGATGCGTCAAGGCCTCTTTGGTGCTGGCCACAGTTCTAAAGGCCAGGGTACTTGGTCATGTGATCTCTGCTGAAGGGAACAGACCGGCTAATCCTCCGCAATAGCAGAGATGAACACATTAGGTGCCATCAAACACAGGAAACCTAAACCACAACTTTTTCCAGGAAAGGTAGAAAGGTAGAAATGCCAGCCAAACTATTACACAATATTATCCTAGGAAGACTGCTGGCATAATTTTATGTTACAATTTGAATCCCCATCACACCACAACAATTCCCATCACATCACAACATTGTTTAGATGTCTACTGGTGTATGTATTCTTCTGCGTTGACAGTCATGTGCAGTTTGTAGCATGGATTCAATTTGGAGGACCCATTAGAAATCAGTAGATGCACCTCTAAACACACATGCACAATGTGTGTGCAAATTGCTTTGACACGCATGCTAACGCAGAACTTGGAGAGAGCATATTCAGCTGCAACATGAACCGAATTTAAAGAGATCTGCCCCATGACTGCCAAAGGTAAGCATTACCCAGTAATTTGTTACATGTGCAAATCCAATGCTTAGTGAATATTGTACACGCTTTGCACAACAAAACAAATCGTATTTCTGCATTCAGAGTGAAGTTAGAACCCCAAACCTGTGGGTAAACACATCGCTTAAAGGAGAACTATGGGGTTAAGGCTTTTCCCCATAGTTCTCCTAAGGGTAACGGGAGGACACAAACTAGCGTCCTCCCGTCAGCCTAAGCTCAGTATACTGCGAGCTGCAGCTCGCGGTATACTGAGACGCCACAGTATACCGCGAGCTGCTGCTCGCGGTATACAGCTCGCGGTATACTGAGACGCCACAGCTGAAGCGGATCCCGACAATTATGTCTGGATCCGCCCAGCTGCGTGAGTGACAGCTAGCTCTGCCTATCTAGAGGCAGAGCCAGCTGTACCCGCCCCCTCCCCCGTCCGACCTGCCAGTCAGTGCTGGCGGATCGGGGGGAATCCAGGCACTCCCCTGTCATGGCAGAGAGCTGTGACAGGATCGAGAAGGGGGCGAACGCCGGTATGTGTTCGCTCACTTCTCGATCTGAGCCGACCTGTGACAGTCTCATTGTCACAGGTCGGCTGGAACTATGAGGGGAGTGAAAAGCACTCACCTCATAGTTCTCCTTTAATAGTAAAATGAAAGGATTATGATAGCTAGGAAACTGGCAATTTCTAAGTCCTCTTTCACATGGGTGCCATCTGTTCATCCATGCATGGATTCCCTGCTGATCAGAGCAGTACAGAACAGATGGCACTTTTGTAAAATCTGTGTCTGTTTAGATTTTCCCTCCATCGCAATTTGGAGAAAAAAAACTGAACTAACCGCACCCATGCTAGGTCTAGGCGGAATCAGATTGAAGTGGATATGTGTCTGTTTATATACAATCACCTCCTATCCATCATGATCAGGTCCGTTTTCTTTTTTTTTCCAACCCTAAACAGTCAGAGGTAATTGGATGTAAATGGACACACCTATCTGGCTACCCGTAGCCTAACATACAGTATGTGCCCATATTGCACATCTGGATACCCATAGACCCTGATTTGCCTTCTGATCTGCCTGAGAAACTGACAGGTAGACCTGATCGGGCCACCTGTGTGAAAGGGGCCTTAAAGAAGTTGGCACTGGTAGGACACTCTTATTTGTGTTTATTTTCAAAACAAGGACTACAATTATTATTTTGTAGTAGAAAGCATACAAAATGTGTACAATTAAATCTCTGAAAGAGAAGATATTGCTATACTTACTTAGATGTGTTTTCCAGTATAGCTTTTACCTCTTGCGCCTGTTCCTTCCCAAAGTACACGACTGTTAGATGGACTCTTTTGTCCTGGTTAATGCATACTTCTCTGCAAGAAAAAAACATACACTATGTAATTTTCACAGCAGTTAGTAGAGCAAGCATAGTATTCATGGACATGCATTTGTGGTTTGAGGTCCATGTGCCTAAAATATTATAAATTACAAAACAGGAAAGATACCGGGGTTTCTGAGCGATATGACACCATGGCTTGAGGTTTTGAAAATAGATTTTTATTTAAATATCACATATAATACAAAAATACATACAAATTTGAATAAAAGAAAGGGAGCAACAGCAGTTGCAACCAGTTAAAAACAAAATTAAGCCAGAGGCCTAGACCCATTAAACATGTTCAGACATAACCATAATAAATCAATATATTCTATAAGTCCATTCCCTACGCGTTTCGCAACTTGGCTTCTTCAGGGGATTATGACCTACTCTAACAAAAAATAATAATGATGCGTTCAATTAACATGAATCCACAAAGTTGTTAGATCTATTTTCGAGTATATAAAGTGCACAGGATATATAAAAGACATGTGTCTGGGTTTTTATATATACCCAACGGAGAGAGTCCCACCACCGTTTTCACCACCGTATGTCAAATTTACTCACCACCCAAATGGAGTGGCTTACTGAGGGTCTAGCTTTCTTATGGAGCCTAGGTGGAGAGATAGTCCTCCAAAAGGGAAATGCTCCGTCCAGTTCTTTGTATCCAAAAGAAGGAGAGAGAGGGAGGACCTCGGGCCGCTATAGGAGGGAGGAGCCACCAATCCAGGCTGGAGAGAGAAGGCTCTGCACCTATCCTGTGGTGTTTCTATATTCCTACGTCCATAGACCTGTTTTTTGTATGATTACATTCCTTTAATATTCAGCATATGGAAAATTTGAGCTAAACCCATATCTCACAGCCACACAGGTACATTTGTATACAGTTTTATTCTAAGGCGATGATGCATAGGGGATTTGACAGTTCAACCGGAAACCCCCTTCATTTAACTTCCATGTGTTCCCCTGGATGTATATATCCCAAATAAAAATATATAAGAAAAAAAACAACAACAAAAAACACCCACCTCATTATATTAATTGCCCATTTATAAGGGGTTTCCGGCCAAAGTTCATATAAAAATATTATTTCATGCTACAGCTAGCATATAAAAGATGTTCCCATTTCCAATAACAATAGCAAAAATACCAAGATATCAAAAGGAATGCTGCAACTGTGTTCACTCCTCAAAATGGCATTACGCTAGAAATACAATAGGTTAACAATACAAAACCTGTTATAAGTCAAAACACAATATGCACTAGGCGTATGGCAGCTATTTGTTTCTAGATTTTATATAATACAAAATTCTGCTTATGTCACTTTTATTATCACAAATATTTCTAGCAGCATCTAAAAAACAATGTATACAGCAGCTGATGCTGAATAAACGATGCAGCGTCTCAAGACATTTTACCCTTTATCCTGTACCGACTCACATTTATAATGACTGATTAGAGTTTTATCAGCATATTTTTGACACTTCTAATTAGCAAATAGTCACACTATATTACAATTGGTATGCAAATAATGGTACTTTCAATGACAACGTATTGTTTTCATTCCAATTATTTTAATACTAAGGGGTCTATTCACAAAGCTGCCGAGGGCAGCCGAGTATAAAAAAAATCCCCGGGCGCTCTGGGAGCTCCCCGCTCCTGGCCGCCAAGAAGAGAAACCCCGCTGTGTCTTTTTTTTTTCTTTATTCTGATATTCAAAGTTAAAAAATCCAAAAGCAGTTTACTGTCCAATAAATGCTATTACTAAATTTTCAAAATACCTGTGGTGATTTACTAAAAAGAAAAAAAGAAGGGTTAACAAGATGCTGTTCTTCCTCCCACCAATGAATTCATGACTGTTTACATTCACAAACATGCACATTCAAATAGGTGAACCTAGGAATGGCCATCTTATTGCATGATAGTCAGGGATCAAATTAATATCGTTGTCCTAGGGGCTTTTTTTTTTAACGAGAAAACATAACACTATATTTTTTCAAATTACTTCTGAATATATAAGGTGAAAAAAAATACATTAACCCATGTTCTGCTTCAGAAACATAGCAAATGTAATTTAATAAAATGTATGCAATGTAGATCCATTATAGTACTTTTGCATTTGAGTACATTTAAATGGTATGTAAGCAGCTAGCTCTATTTGGGTTGATTTACTAAATGAGTAGAGAATGTTCACTTTGCATAATTAATGTTCATTTAGCTTAGTAAACCAAGAGAAGCTGTGCTTACTCGGAAAACATAATCTAATGCATGGGGAATGGAAAAAAGCAGGATTTTTTCCCTTGATTGGATGGCTAAGGTGAACACAGCTTCAATTTATTCACTAAGCTGAGTGAACAATAATGGTAATTATTTAAAAACATTATCTACTCCTTTAGTAAATCAACCTCACTGACTTCAAAGGTGAAAAATCATTCTATCTACATAAACAGTATGCCCAGATATATTCTCGCCTATACACTATCATTTTAAAAAAACATCTAAGTTGAAGCATGCCCCTAGACAACTTTTTAATACACAGTCTATTTTAAGGGCATAATTATAAAGCAATGAATGTGACATTCATCATATTTTCACTGCAGGTGGATCTCCCTTGTGCATGTGGTTTAAATTTCAGGGAATGGTTAACTACCGTTCAATGTTTGGTAAAAAGTCACATTCACTGCTTTATAATTATGTCCTGTGTTTTTCATTGGTTTTTTTTTTTGCAAGCTTGTAAGTAAACTGAAAACATAATCAATTATTCTAACATCTAAAAATCTTGGCCTTACATAACAAGCATTCACACACCAACAAGCCATTATGTATTGCATAAAAAAATTGGACTGTATTTGCTTTAAAATACATTTCTTGGTGTTCATTCAGAAACAAATAAGTTAACGACAATTGGGTAAACTGTCACCTACAGGAGGATTTGAAACTGGAAAACAAAAAAATTGTGACTAGCTGATATAACCCCTCCCATTCTCTGCATGCTTTCATTTTGTAAAAAGTTTATAAACACAGAGGTGGAGCCTGTGTTCCTCAATGAACTCCAAGAAATTGATTTTATGGTAAGTTTTTCTTGTTCATTGAGGGATACAGGAAGATGCGCCCCCGGGCTGGGTGTCACCCAGAGCAGCCGGCGGGTGTTACCCGCCGGGACGTCATTACGCCCATGCGCGACATCATCACACATGCGTGTAAGGACACGCATGCACACTTAAAAGAGAACTATGGGGTAAGTGTTTTTCCCCATAGTTCTCTTTAGGGTCAAGGGAGGACATATACTAATCTCCTCCCGTGACCCAAAGCTCAGTATATCGTGGTAAATACTGAGAGTGCCGCAGCCGGGACGGATCCCGACAAAACTTTCAAGATCCACCCAGCTGCGTGAGTGACAGCTGGCTCTGCCTATCTAGAGGCAGAGCCAGCTGTGCCCGCCCCCTCCCCCATTCATTCCTTCACTTAGCGCTGGAGGATCGGAGAGGGTAGGGCAGAATCCCTGCGCGGAGCTGTGACTGACAGTAACTGCTCACTGCAGGGAGATGCTCGATAAGTGAGCGGATCGGGGGCATGTTTCTGCTCACTGCCTGATCGATCGAGCCGACCTGGAAATCACTCACCTCATAGTTCTCCTTTAACTGCAGGTGGCCATCTCGGTGATGGACGCTGGCAGAGAGTAGGGGACATTCGTCCGGCGGGATAAGGTATGCTGTCATTCCCCCTCTTCTCTCGTACAGCTGTTGGTCAATCGGTCCATGACCCAGTGCCCGACTTTTCAGAGGGGGTGAAAGTCATTTTGGTGTCACCCCCTCTGATGGTGTCATCCGGTGCAGGCCACACCCCACTTGTGATGCCACTGGACACAGGATTTAGAGATGATTGGGACATCCAAAAGCAGTCCAACTGAGGGGTGGGCAACAGCAGCAAAACACTAACAGGCCCACATAACAACAAAACTTAGGGCTGACTACACCTCAAAAGGTCACCTGAAGGACTTTACCCCCATAGCTAACATCAGATGAGGCTTGAACATTCAGCAGATCAAACTTAGAAAATGTTTGGTTCCTTGCTGATGATGTATGCCACTACTATGGCATTGTCTGACTGGATCCTGATCACATTACCCTCCAGTTGGGATGTCCAGCATTGTAGGGACAACCAAATTGCTTGCAGCTCCAGAATATTGATGTGAAGATGGGATTCCTCTGGTGTCCAAGTCCCCTCCAGTACAAAGTGTCTAGGACTTTTCCCCAACTTGTCATGCTGGCATTAATTGTTAGGATCTTCCAAGAAATTGGAAGGAAGGTTTCCCCAACTCCAGAACTGAACTACTGAGCCACCAGGCCAGACACAATCTGGTACACAGTGTGAGGAGAATCAGTTTGTCCAGAGACTACATTGACTTGTCCCATGATGACAGAATGTCAGAAGGCAGTGATCTGAAGTGTAACTAGGAGAATGCAACATTCTTGAATGAGGCTACCATTAGCCTCACGGCTCTCATTAAGAAACAAGTCAGATTCCTGGACTGAAGAAGAGTCTGAGTCTGGGAGAATTAGTAGAATTAGGAGTTTCTTTTGGGAAAGATAACTCTGCCTTGAGCTGTGTCTAGGATAGGATATGACCCAGATATTCAAAGTGATGAGTGGGCTTCAGTGCTGACTTCTGAAGGCTCAGGATCCAACCAAACACAAGGTTTGTATTGTCAGCATCGCATTGTCAGCCAAGTGTTTCCTTAATAGGAGGTCGTACAAATATGTCACAAAGGGGATACCTTGGGAACATAGCAAGGTTAGAACAGGGGCCAGCACCTAGGTGAACAGTACAGAGAAGTACAGAGGATATGACGAATGGCAGGCCCACAAACTGGAAGTGGTGGGGACCCACAGCAAAGCAAAGGAATATCTGATGTGCTTGACAAATGGGGACATGCAAATATGTGTCTTTGATGTGCATAGAGGCCACAAAGTCTCTGTGATGGAGGAAGGCTAT